GCGTTGGAGGTTGGAGTTGGAGGTTAATGTTAGAGGTTAAACCTGGAGGTAAGAGTTAGAGGTTAGAGTTGGAGGTTAGCGTTGGAGGTTAGCGTTGGAGGTTAGAGTTAGAGGTTAGAGTTAGAGGTTAGAGTTAGAGGTTAGAGTTGGAGGTTAGAGTTAGAGGTTAGAGTTAGAGGTTAGAGTTAGAGGTTAGAGTTGGAGGTTAGAGTTGGAGGTTAGCATTGGAGGTTAGCATTGGAGGTTAGCATTGGAGGTTAGCATTGGAGGTTAGCGTTGGAGGTTGGAGTTGGAGGTTAATGTTAGAGGTTAAACCTGGAGGTAAGAGTTAGAGGTTAGAGTTGGAGGTTAGCGTTGGAGGTTAGAGTTGGAGGTTAGAGTTGGAGGTTAGAGTTGGAGGTTAGAGTTAGAGGTTAGAGTTGGAGGTTAGAGTTGGAGGTTAGAGTTGGAGGTTAGCGTTGGAGGTTAGAGTTGGAGGTTAGAGTTGGAGGTTAGAGTTGGAGGTTAGAGTTGGAGGTAAAGTGGGAGGTTAGAGTTAGGGTTGACACAAAAAAAGAGTTAGAGGTTAGTGATTAAACCTGGAGGTAAGTGTTAGGTTAAACGTGGGAGTTAGAGTTAGAGGTTAGAGTTGGAGGTAAGAATAACTAAAGTGACTGAAAGGTCTGAGGCAGAGGACTAGAGAGGGGAACTAAGCAGCAGAAGGGGACGTGTTAAAGAACCAAACTGAAGTGCTGACTTGTTTGATTGGATATGTTAATTATTAGTGAGTTAGCATTAGCTTCCACCAGTATTCTTGCTAGCTTGCTTCTAGCTTATCATTAGTGGAACAAAATAAATTGTGTAGCAGTTAAGAGTTTTGGTTGGCTGTGTCTACCGCTGGTTCAAGGGTTTGGACAATCATCTACAATTTGCTCCCTAACTTCGTGCTGTGACAGGAAACACCTCACCTGTAGGTCTCACCCTCAGCCGCTCCTCCCCGTCTGTCTCCAGGTGACTATGCAGGAGTCAAACACGCCCTCCGCGAGGCCGAGGTCTACTACAACATGGACGTGAACTGTCTGGACCCGCTGGGCCGCAGCGCGCTGCTCATCGCCATCGAGAACGAGAACCTGGAGATCATGGAGCTCCTCTTGGACCACGGCATCCACACGGGCGACGCCCTGCTGTACGCCATCAGAAAGGAGGTGGTGGGCGCCGTGGAGCTGCTGCTGTCCCACCGGAGGCCGAGTGGCGAGAAACAGGTGCCGAACCCAAGAACGTCTTTTTGGTTTCTGCTGTGTTAATCTGTTGCATTCAGGCTCACGCTTACTCACCCTTGAATGTGCGTTTGTATGTTGTTGTTGTTTTTTTTTTTTTTTCATTTGAATGTGTTTGTGTGCGATAATGAGGCATTCATCCATTCATTGGAACGCTCCGTGCCACAGTCTGCTCAGAGAATGGAAATTAAAGAGCTCGTTTAGCAGACAAACTGTGAAATAGGATTTGGAGGCAGACAGTGTTTTCATCCACCCGCTGCAGTTCTTAGTGTTTTTATTTGAGAGAGAGAGAGAGAGAGAGAGAGAGAGAGAGAGAGAGAGAGAGAGAGAGAAGAACAATTTAAAGTCATAGAAGAAGAAAAAACATCAGAAGACGGAGAAGAGCTGAGAAGACGAGTATTTTCTTTTGAAGCGAAACTGTTTTTTTGTTCTTGTTCATTAATTTTTGAACTGAGGAAGACTTGAGTTTCCACGTCGCCACGGCAACAAACTCTTGGCAGAAGCAAAGGATTGTGGGAAGGTTTTTGGTTGACTCTCAACTGGACGAGAAGCGGGAACACATTTTTGTTCTCGCTTTTAAAAACTTCGATTTGTCTCGCTTGCTCTCGGCGTGTCTTCTTTTTTTAGCAGCTATTTTTAAGATAAGTTTGTTCCTTCGAAGTGGAGGTGTTTTACAGCCGCAGGAGCAGGTGCTCCTAAAAGCCTCCACATACTCCAGCCGCAGCCGGAGGGTCAACATGCAGTCGGCGTTTGTTTATCGCACAAACCTTTTGTAGCTGCGACACACGAGCTGAGCTCCTGGATACGACCCTGCACGGGGTTTCTTCTCACTGTAGTCAACACTGTGGGGAAAAATACAAAACACTAATATCTATATCATTTTTATTATTATTATTATTATTATTATTTTTATTATTATTACTATCTATTTTGAAGCGATGGCCCTCTTTTGCATGTGACTAACCTGTTTGTCCATGTGGAGGCGGAGCTTATAAGGCTGAGTTCACCTG